AGAGGCCCCCCGAGGAGGGCGGCGGCCGGGGCTGGCGGGCCGGGCTGTCCCACCGCTCTTCTCTGAGGAGCGGAGCCCAAGGCGCGGCCCGTGCGAGGACCCCGACCTCTGAGTCCACGCCCAAGTCAGCTGAAGCCGAGTGGGTCCCCGAGTGCGAAACTGGCTGGCGGGAGGCAGGTGGCCGTGGCACCGCCCGGGACCTCCGCCTCCTGGGAACCAGCCCCTGTGCCTTTCACGAAACTGACCTGTTCCCCAGTTCTAAGTTGGAGAACTTCACGGACTCCCTTCCCTGCCCCGTTTTCGTGCGCCCCACTCACTTCAGGTGACCTTAGTTTGCAGGGCTTCCCAGGTGAGCCCCGGGGAACAGCGTCAGAAAGAATTGTGATTAAGTCACTAGCCACTCGAATGCTGCTGCTTGTTACTAATACGAAGGAGATTTTACTGTAACATTATTGGGGGCTGTTATTCCACTTATTTTCGTACTTGTGGCTTGGCGTGTATACTTGGTGATATTACCCCTGACTGTGTGTGGTTAGGAAAATCTTCCGAGACCTTAAGAATATTTGCAGACCTATGTCCATTTGCTTTCACTTGGGGTCTATTAAGACCGAATGGAGGGCTATGCACTTTTTCGTAAGGGGTATATAGAGGCACGTTTGCCCTGGTCATAAAACTCCAGATACCTGCTCTTTTGCCCTTTCCACTCGGTTGCAAAGGTCTATCCAAAATAAACCTTTCTGTGATAGTTGGTAGACAGAATGTTTTTGAAAAGTAGTCATCTTTCCAATTTACTGGATTGCTCACTTTTCACCTCTTCAGCAAGATTTGGGTACATTTATGGTAGGTTTTTAGCAAACTGATTGTAATCCTTTTCTTGTTACTATTACTGACCAAACCTTGGGAGTGACTGTCCATTTTTCTCTTCTAGAAAGTAACAGTGACAGGCAAATTAATTTTGTGTTAGAGTTGTCTAGATTGTGATTATTGCGATTCTTAACAATTACTTTTACCATTTTTCTCAGGGGTTTTGCCTGTCAAT